GAGAAAGGGAAAGAGAGGGAGGGAGAGAGAGAAACATCGATGTGAGTGTGAAACATCAACTGACCACCTCCTGCATACCTCCCACCAGGGATGAGCCTGAAACCTGGGCATGTGCCCTGACTGGGAATTGAACCGGCAACCTTTTGTTGCACAGGACCACGCCCAACCAATTGAGCCACACCAGCCAGGGTCCTGTGCCCTTCAATCACACTCCTGAGAATGACCCACAGAAAGACGAGCTCCAGGGTGCAGAGGGGCACCTGTGCACTTTCTTTTTATTTTATTTTAATTTTTTGTTCATCCTCACCTGAGGATATTTTTTTTTTCATTTATTTTTTTAGAGAGAGTGGAAGAGAGGGGGAGAGACACAGAGAGAGAAACATTGATGTGAGAGAGACATATCGATTGCTTGCCTCCTGTATGCGCCCCGACCTGGGGCTGGAGACCCAGCCTACAACTGAGATGCGTGCCCTTGACCGGAATCGAACCCAAGACCCTTTAGTCCACGGGCTGACGCTCTAGCCACTGAGCTAAACGGGCTAGGGCGCGCCTGTGCATTATCTAGCAGGGAATCAGTGTGCTGGGTGAGGACAGGGTGAAGTAGTCGGAGCATCATGGAAGCCCACTGGGGCCTGGGGCAGCGTCTGCGCCCAACACCGTGGAGTGGGGAAAACAAGGAGGAGCCACTGGATTCCTGACAGTCCTTCCAGGGGGCCTTTGTCCCTGCCCCCACCCTGAGCCAGTGTCACCTACGCAATCAGAGCAGAACCAGCACAACTAGGTTCCCTGGGGGCAAATCTCTGAGCCCTGGTATGCCACGGGACAGGCAGAGCAGCAGAAGTGGACAGGACAGGACAGGGCTTTGGCCGGGAGGGGATGCCCGGGTTGCTGATACTGTGTTGCAACTTGCAGCCAAGACCAACTTCTAGAGTTTCAGTTTCTGTGAAATGTGGGGGTTGGCGCAGATGGTTGCTAAGATTCCTCCCAGCTCTGGAACCTCTAAACCGTTAGGCCAAACGTGGGGAGAGGGCCCCGTTTGGTAGCTATTGGCTTCTCAGCTGTGCTGTGGGGGGTGGGGGGAGTGGAAGATGGAGTGGATGATAGTGACAACAACGGATAAAGGAACAGGGAGGGGCAAGAAGGAGGACTTCTTAGAGCACAGCCACCAGCCTCCTTCCTTCAGCATCTCAAATGTTCCTGGCACTCTTGAACCCTGGGGGTGCGGGGGAGGGGAGGGGAGAGCAGGGCTGAGGCGGTCTGTGGTCCCAGCCCCAGAAGCCAGGGCTGGAGGGACCAGGAGCTGCATAGTTAATGCTGGCCACGCTTTTTGAGACGCACTCATCAAAAACGGGGGCAGAAAGAGAAAGTTCCAGGCCTCTGGCTTTAAATGGGTCAGTTCAATGGAGGGTTGTCTGACTTAGCAAATAGAAACACATTCGGCGTTCAATCTGAATGTCAGATAACAACGAAGAATTTTTCAAGGTAAGCACATCTCATGTGATAGATATCTTGTTTATCTTTTTGTTTTGTTAATCCTCACCCGAGGATATGTTTCCATTGATTTTTTTTAGAGAGAGGGAAGGGAGGGGGAGAGACAGAGAGAACCATTGATGTGAGAGAGACACATCGATGGGTTGCCTCCCCCACTCACCCCGCCCAGCCAGGGCCTGGGATCTAACCTGCAACTGAGTTACGTACCTTTGACCGGAATCAACCCTTCAGTCCAAGGTCTGACACTCTATCCACTGAGCCAAACCGGCTAGGGGCATCTCATGTGATATTTTATGTGTTTGTGTTTTTTTTTTTTTTTTCAGAGAGGAAGGGAAGGGAAATAGAAACATCAGTGATGAGAGAGAATCATTTATCTGCTGCCTCCTGCACGCCCCCTACTGGGGATCGAGCCCAAAACCCGGGCATGCACCCTTGATTGGAATCCAACCCGGGACCCTTCAGTCCGCAGGCCGGCGCTCTAACCACTGAGCCGAACCGGCTAGGGCTCATGTGATAGTTTAGACATACTGATACTAAAACATTCATCGTCCCGCATTTCATCTGACAGGCAGGAGAGTGGGTTGGGCCTCTGGAGGTCTCTTCCGCGGGACCTTTGGGTGAAGGTCACCTTCCCCAGGTTCTCCCCAGACCGAGTGGTGAAGTCCTGCTGTGGATCCCCCGCCCCCACCCTGGCACAGTGGTTCTCTAGTTCTCCCTGAAACCGTCCTCAATCACCCTAATCTGAGCCTACCACCTGTTTCCTGTGGGGACCCAGCCTGACACAGGCGTGGAATGAAAGCCAGAAGGTTCTCAGGGTCATTTATGAAGTATTGGTAGAAATCGAAGAAGTAATTGGTGCTTGTGCTTCCGACACGTGGAATGAGGAACGCTATGCTGCAAGTCCCAGCAATTCTCAGAGGATCCACTGTGCCAGCCAAGTAAACAGCGACGGAGGGAGAAACGGCAAAAGGGGGGGAACCACCCAGATGCGAGGTGAACAGCCTGCCCCCGTCATTCCTCCACCCTCCCACCCTCATCTCTAACCAAGCCACCCGAGGAAGCACATCCTCTTTCTCTCCCTCAGGCCTCTCTGAGATAAGGGCAGCCTCTCTGGAGACGCCCACGAGCTTTTTCCTCTCGTAGGGTTCAGAGAGCCTCTGAAACAACCGTAATGGGGGATGGAGGCTGGTTGGCTGGCACCCAAGCAGAGGCAACCCTCATAGGCTGGCACCTGCTGGGTTCTTCAGGTGACAGCTTAGTGGAGACCCACCACCCGTTTTAGATGTGCCCAGCCAAGGAGAGGTCATCCAGCCCAGGTACCCCATTTCAAAAGCATCTTGGTAGTCATAGCAACGGGCCGCATGCCAACCTGAGAGGCTTTAGGGAAAGAGACCTCGGGGGGCACGGAGCTAATGTACATGGATGACCAGTCCTGAGATGCCATTTGGCAGGGACAGGGCATCCTTTCTCTGCCCTCACCTTATTATTTTGTAAAAAATATATTTTACTGATTTTTTTACAGGGAGGAAGGGAGAGGGAGAGTTAGAAACATTGGAGAGATAAACATTGATCAGCTGCCTCCTGCACACCTCCTACTGGGGATGTGCCCACAACCCAGGTATATATCCTTGATCGGAATCGAACCTGGGACCCTTCAGTCCACAGGCCAATGCTCTAACCACTGAGCAAAACCGGTTAGGGCTGCCCTCACTTTTTCAAAAAATATATATTTTGATTGACTTCAGAGAGGAAGGGAAAGGGAGAGATAGAAATATCAATGATGAGAATCATGGATTGGCTGCCTCCTGTCACTCTACTCTGGGGATCAAGCCTGCAACCCAGGCATGTGCCCTAACCAGGAATTGAATCGTGATCTTCTGGTTCATAGGGTGACGTTCAACCACCGAGCCAGACTGGCTGGGCCCACAATAATTTTTAAAATTATTTATCAGAGGCACTGACCTCTTTTCCCTTACACCGTCAAAAAAAAAAAAATGACAACAGTTAACACAATAGCTGTCTGGTGTGAATGAATCAAAATTATACCTATTTCATTTTTTCAGACTGGCAAAAAATATTTTTTGATGTGCTGATTTCTAGTAATTAGTTTATGTATATAATGAGATGAAAAAGGTTAAAAATCTACTCTCAGGACATCTAAGACACACCTTGGCTGAGGGTGGACTCACCAAGCAACATTCTGTTGAGAATTCCATTTTTAACATTTGTGCCCTGACCGGTTTGGCTCAGTGGACAGAGCGTCTGCCTGTGGATTCAAGGGTCCCACGTTCGATTCGGGCCAAGGGCATGTACACATCCCCAGTAGGGAGTGTGCAGGAGGCAGTTGATCAATGTTTCTCTCTCATCGATGTTTCTAGCTCTCTATCCCTCTCCCTTGCTCTCTGTAAAAAAGGCAATAAAATATTTTTAAAAACAACATTTGTGTGTTTCCTCATCTAAATGCACCGCACCCTGCCTTGTTCCACAAAAGCTACGGAGTGATGTGGCTTCCATATGACCTGCTGTCAGCTTGGCAGTTAAGATGTCACAGTGAGCTAGTGCTCTGGCCTTCTGATTTCCCTATCAATCTTCTGGGCATGTATTTCATGTGACTCACTCTCCCTGACTCTCACCTCTTGGGGACACGCTTGGGTAACCCCGCTGCCTGGCCAGAAGCTACCACTGTCACCAGCCCACACTGTAACCTACATCCTGAAGTTCTTGGCAAACAACCATTCTCTCTCCAACTGCAAGCATCAGGAATTTCTTGGGGTCATTATCCCCAACATTTTATGTATCTTATTTAAAAATTTTTTAAATATATTTTTATTGATATCAGAGAGGAAGGGAGAGGGAGAGATAGAAACATCAGTGATGAAAGAGAATCATTGATCAGCTGCCTCCTGCATGTCCCCTACTGGGGACTGAGCCCACAACCTGGGCATATGCCCTTGACCAGAATCCAACCTGAGCCCCTTCAGTCCACAGGATGACTGACACTCTATCCACTGAGCCAAACGAGCGAGGGCTATTTTATTTTTTAAATATATTTTTATTGATATCAGAGAGGAAGGGAGAGGGAGAAAGAGATAGAAACATCAACGATGAGAGAATCACTGATCAGCTGCCTCCTGCATGCCCCACACTGGGGATTGAGCCCGCAACCCTGGCATGTGTCCTGACCGGGAATCGAACCGTGACCACCTGATTTGACACTGAACCACTGAGCAACACTGGCTAGGCATCCAACTTTTTTTTTTTTTTTTTTTGGCACCCAACGTTTTATTTTGAACAATTTCATAATACAGAGCAGTGAAAAGGATAGTGCGATAGGGAATACCATTTCACGCCAAAATATTGAAGCCCGTCATTTCGAAGGAAAAAGAACATCGCCCATGTAATAATCATCTTTTAGCACGCCCAGGGAATTTAATACTGAGGACAAAATCTCATCTGATTATCCATTCTGCCACTGGGGCCAGCGGCTGTCAGTAGCCTCTTTCCACACTTTACTGCATCTTCCCCTTAGGAGGGAGTCGCTGGCAGGTGTCGAGATTTGTCAGAAATAAGAATGCAAAGTGGAACTGAAGCACATCACAGACTTTGGACCAGAAATGGCCTGTGAGCCGCTGGAAGAGATACCACTGGGCCAGCTGGTGGTCACACAGCTTGAGGACCACAAAGCCCAGGCAGGAGAGCACCCCCAGGAGCAGGTACACCCCCGAGCACGTGCTGCCGTGGCGCCTGTGGACACGCAGGGCCTGGCTCACGGCGGCAACGATGTGCACGCCCAGGGCGACCTCAAACCCCTGGGGATGCAGCAGGGAAAGGCTGTAACTGGACAGCGAGAGGCACTCGATGGCAAGGAGCAGGCCGGGCTCCCAGCCCCGGTCCAGGTAGAGGCACCAGGCCACGGGCCACGCGAAGATGGGCAAGGTGAACCACTGGTCCAGCACAGCAGCCGGGCGCGTCTGCAGCCCGATCCGCAGCCACTGCACGGGGCCGTACACCATAGCCATGCCCGCAAAGACATCCTTCAGGTACCGAGCTCGCTGCGCCTCACCGGGGTGCCCCTGGGCACTGACATCTCTCTGCAGCCAGTGCACCCCCAGGAGCACGTAGGCCACGTTGATGAGCGAATTGAAGGGCATGGCTAAGAAGGCAGGGAGGCCGGCTACCGGGGCTTCTGCATAGTGCTCGTAGCCTACTTCCACAAAGACGCTTTCAAAAACACCCGTGTAGACGGTGGCCACGCAGAGGCAGGTGGCCACGGCCACGTGGCAGAGGGCCTGCCTGGACGCGGGCTTCATCTGGAAGCCCGGTTGTGACTTGGGGCGGAGAGCTTCAGAGAGTGGCAACCTTCACTGACCTTTCAGAAGTCAAACAGCTTTTGCAAAAAAAACGCTCCTGGGCCTCCCAGCTGAGCCAGCAGGAAGATGTCCCGTGATTTCCGACGCAGATGCTACAACCTTGCCCTGGAGTGGTGGTAGCGAGGCCGGGTGGAGGTGGAGGGCGGGCTGATTGGCTGGCACAAGTGGAGGGCTGTTCTGCCTTTTTCCTTTGTGGTAGAAAGAGTATGGTTAAAAAGAAAGCCATCCAAAGAAGAGCCTCCATCTTGCTGACTCTCGGCCTCAGGATCCACAGTTTTCATCAGAAACAAACACACACACACACACACACACACACACACACACACACACACGCCAAAAACATGTAAAAGTGAAATGATACCTACAGCGCTAGTATGTTCACCTTCTTACACATGGCTTCTAGAATCTTCTTTTGCCAAGGCATTTTGCGCCTCTTGACAACTATGCTGTTCTTCTCTCATCCATGGACTATAAAAATCCTGCTCTTGCCCTAGCTCGTTTGGCTCAGTGGATAGAGCGTCAGCCTGCGTACTGAAGGGTCCCAGGTTCGATTCTGGTCAAGGGCGCATACTCAGGTTGCAGCCTCGATCCCCAGTAGGGGGCGTGCAGGAGGCAGCTGATCAATGATTCTCTCATCCTTAATGTTTCTATCTCTTTCTCCCTCTTTCTTCCTCTCTGAAACCAATAAAAGTATATTTAAAAAAAAAAAAACCTGCTCCTTGCCCTAGTTCCCTTAGAGCCACTGTATTTAGAGACACCAACATCCCTAGGTCTGTTCTTACAACCAGAACGGGTTTTCACACTTCCGTGACGTTATAAATGTGGAAGTTTCCAGACTAGCCCCAAAACCCTTTTAGCCAAATACCCAGTTGAACCAGAGACCATTAGCTGTGGTGTGAGCTCTGGAATCCCAGGCAAGAGATGGTGTGGTGCTGGAGGAAGACAGGGTGGGGCTAGGGGGTGGGGAGGACTATGAGCATGTCTCCTCTGCTTCTTGGGTGTGAGGCAGGCAGCACAGGGCACTCTCCTCCAGGCCTGCTACCCTGGCTCACCTTCTGCCCTCCTCAGAGTTGCTATCCACCCCCCCAATCACCCTCTTTCCTTGTCCCACAATACAACTTCCCATTTCCTGCAATCACAGAAGCAAATAATTTATTTACTGATTTTTATTGATTTTAGAGAGAGGAAGGGGGTGAGAGAGACATTGATGTGTTGTTCCACTTCTTTATGCATTCATTGGTTGATTCTTTTTTTAAATATATATATATATATATATATATATATATATATATATATATATATATATATATTATTGATTTCAGAGAGGAAGGAAGAGGGAGAGAGATAGAAACATCAATGATGAGATAGAATCGTTGATTGGCTGCCTCCTGCATGCCCACCACAGGGGATCAAGCCCACAACTCGGGCATGTGCCCTTATTGGGAATAGAACCGTGACCTCCTGGTTCATAGGTCAATGCTCAACCACTGAGCCATGCCAGCCTGGCTCAGGCACTTCTTCATTCAGCACCTCTGATTCTGGCTGGGACAGGAGCTAAGTCCCTCCCTGCACCCATCTGGGGCCTGGCTCCCGGCTCCCTGGTGTGAAGTGCCAGGCCTTAAGGGCCCCATGTAGCTCGAACTAGCCTGACCCTCCTCTCTGCCAGCCAGCATGGAGAGCCAGGCACAGGAGTCAAACACTGTTAATTTGATAGAGAAAGAGGGTCCAGGAAGCTGGAGAGTGACTCCTCTCCGGCCAACCTGGCAGAGTCCACCTGAGTCCTTGTGCAAGCTGAAAGTGACATGTAATCAAACCAAATTCCCAAGTCCATCAGGAAGACCACTGCCGGGTGCTTCATGGCCCAGCTTCTCTGTACCCTTGAACAGCCATGACCCTTGTTACAGGACGCTCAGTTCTTCATAGATTCCCCCAGGGCCTGGTACACAAAGCCCAAAGGGTCCAGGGCATTGGCTCCCTGTTCTGGGGTCTTCTGGGGGGTCCCGGAAAGCATGACAGTCTCCTGGCTAACACATGTTCCTTCGATTCATTGTCCAGCTTCCTGGGGTGATCTGTATGTAAACAGAAGCCACTATCACCTGTCACAGTGGTGGCTTCTTTGGCCTGTAGCATTTGACAACTGCCGCTCGTGCCCCAGACTACCCTAATCACCCTTGCTGCCTTTCTGCAGATAAGGTGACGCCAGCCCGAGAGCTGCAATGTGGGACACCCCCCAAAAAGGTGAGGTCCCTCTGAGCCACCCGAGCGCCCAAGGAACCTGGAGCAACCACAGGGCTTCCTGAACTCTGAGGAGAGAATCGCTGAGTGTGGGCAAGGCCCCTGGGAATCAGCAGCTCGGCTTCCTTATTTCACACGGGAGGGACCCAGGGCCCGAGAGGGGAGGTGAATGGCCAAGGTCATGTAGGGCACTCAGTTAGCATCGCCACACAGGTAGAGGCCTCTTTGGCCTTTCTCAAACAAATGCTCCCAAATGTATAAAGAAAAACAGGATTACGACAAAAAAAATGAATGTCAAAAGACAATCACTAAATTATTTTTGAAAATGTGAGATAGGGTTATATATGTGCTTCTTTACTTATAAATTCCAGGATCTCCAGGCAGGTTGAATAACTACAGTAATTTCAAAGTAGTTATTCTGCCTGCCAGTATGTCTTGTTCATTTAATTAATTTCAGGACATCTACAACAAAAGCTGTGAGCTTAGGAAATGACTGCTCTGTCGTTTTCCTTGGTGACAGTCACCTCCTAGGGCTCTGTGCTCTGCGGTCTATATTCGTAATTGCGGGAAAGGCCAAATTTCGGCTAGAGGCTGGTGAAAATAAAGAAATAGAGATGAAAGTGGAAAAAATCATCTATTGTCACTGCCAGTCCCCAAACACCTGTGCAGGACCCCTGCACTACGGCCCAAGTCTAGCAGTGAGCATGACAGTGCAGCCGGCACCCAGGCGGCCTCTCGCAAGATTCGTAACGGATCTGGAACCCGGGGGCGACGTCAGTACCCACCTCTCAAGGTTGTTGTGAGAACTCACAGTACTGGCGCGAAAAGGCCAGCGATCACCATCCGGGTACTTTGTCTCCCTCACTTTGCTGGGGGAAATTCAAATCTCAAAAAAGGGCGGACCCGAGAAGCGGGCTTGCGCATGCGCGCGAGGCGGGGCGGGGCGCGGGGCTCTGGGAAGCGGGCGGGGCGGGGTGACGCGAGGTGACGCGAGGCCGCGCTGAACTCTCCCGCGCGCGCCCGCCCGCCCGCGCTCCCGCCCCGCTCCGACGCCGCCAGCCTGGCTGCCCGCCCCGCGGCCGGCTGGGCCGGGAGCCGCTCAGCGCGCAGCGGCGCCCTGGCGCGCGGCCCGGCCCCTCTCGATGGGGAGGGAAGGAGCGGCGGCGGCTCCCGGGGGCGGAGCTGGCGGCCTGGGAGCCTGGGAGCCGGCTGCGTCACCGCCCACTCTCGCCCCGCCTCCAGCTCCCCGGCATGGGGCTCGAGCTGCCTTTTCGGCGGACGCTGGGTTTACGGGGCGGCGAAATGTTCGCTGCCCGACTCGAGGCGAGACTTGAGCGACTCCCGTCAGCTACCCTCGGCGATCAATACCCTGTCCCCACTGTTAGATAAAGGCAGTTCCTCGGGCGTGTGTCGCCACAAGGGCCCGGGGAACGGTTCCCAAGGGGGGCGGGGCCAAGCTCGTCAGAAGCATTCTCATCCGGGTATTCCCTAGATGCCGCAGCCGCCATCTTTGTTTTGTGCTGAAAGTCGCTATTGACGCCCGCGGACAGCCGGGCGAGGGGAAGTGGCAAGATGGCGGCTCCCACGGCGGAGGCGTGGAAGAGCGCCGAAGGGTACCGCGGGGATGGGCGCACCTGCGCCTGACTCGGGCGCGGCCTAAGCCCGAGATAAGCGCGCAGGGACCCCAGGCCTTTGCCTCGGGGTAACGCGGGGGCTCCTTTAAGAGGCGAAGCGGAGCGAAGGCGGGAGGGGGTTGTGACGTCACCAGACCCCGCCCCCTCGCCCGACCGTCGCAGCCGCCATGTTTAGTTGTTACTTCTTCACACAAGATGGCGGCTCCCAGGGAGGAGGCATGAGCACCCTGCCGTTACCGCTCCTCGTGCCGTACAGTTGCCACTTCACGGCCTAACCTGGCTCTTTGAAGCGGCTCCTGTGGGAAGGAGTCATAAGGTGGGAATCGAGGATCCGACGCTGCCTTGCGTTTTGTTTGCAGTGGAAGAACTGACCCAGGAAGAAGAGAATAGGGGAGAAGGGGGAGCTCATCTCAAGATGGCGGCTCCCAGGGCGGCAGGCGCAGCCTGAGCAGCTGGGGCGAACTGACGGGAGAGGTTCAAGACCTCACAAGCCGTACGAACTGCTAGGGTCTGAGCAGTTCCTGAGAACTCCAGCTCATTCCACTGGCCTCCGGCGCGCCTCTCTTCCTTACGAGTGTCGAGCCTGTGTCGGGAGCGGCGGCTGCACTAATCGCTGGGCGGGGAAGCGGGACGGTCTCAAGATGGCGGCTCCCACAATTGTGGTCTGAGCACCGGCGGGGCTGAGACAACCGCGGCGCTGGTGGCTCCTATCCACCCGCCCCGGAAGCCGGCCAGTGCGGGGGACTTGGGGGGTGTGGGAACCGGGCCGGGGCTCCGCCATTTCCGGCGGGTGTGGGCTACGACTGAGGAAGGGAGGAGAGAGAGGCGGCTCAAGATGGCGGCTCCCAGGTCCTCCCGCCCGGGCTTATAAGCAGGAGCACCCGGGCAAGTAGTCAGAGCGGCTGGACTCGTATGCCTCAAGCTTCTCGGGCCTAGCCGCTCTACAGCTTCGGGACGCTCTTGAAGAGTCGGGTGGAAGAGAAGAAGGAAAAGAGCCGAAGGGAAGGAGGGTAGTTAAGATGGCGGCCTCCATGGAGCCGTCCACCGCTGTGTAAGGAACTGCTTCTCCGAGAGAGCTGCCTTAGACTAAAGGGGGTGTGTGGGAGGTATTGGGGGGCTCCTTTCCCGCCTTGTGACTTTCCCCCATCGCTCCCTTTCCCGGAATTATGGCTTCGGCCGTGTCGCCCGCCAACTCTCCAGCGGTGCTCCTGCAGCCCCGCTGGAAGAGAGTGGTAGGCTGGTCGGGTCCAGTGCCCCGACCCCGTCACGGCCACCGCGCCGTGGCCATCAAGGAGCTCATCGTGGTGTTTGGCGGTGGCAACGAAGGGATAGTGGATGAACTGCACGTGTACAACACGGGTGAGTGCAAAGCCCGCCGGGTCCTGGGATCTTTCCCTCCTTCCATCTATTCCCTCCCTTTTCCCCTCCATCTCCTCTCCTTCCCTCCATCCATCACTTCCCTCGCCTCTCTTCTCTCTCCTCTCCTCCTTTTTCTCCCCCTTCTCCCATTCCTCTCCTTCCACGCCGATCCTGCTTTCTTCCCTCCATAACCCTTTACTCTGCCTCGTTTCTCTGCCTTTTCCTCCGCTCTGACACCCTCTGACTCGTGTTTGAGGGGCGCTTTCATTATTGAAGAGGAACCGTCTAGTCCGGCTGGTGCGGGGGCGTCGCCAGTGGTGGTGACTTCAGACATACACCGTTACCCGGGCGAGCGGGCTGGCGGATGCGTCCCTTGGTGCAGGCTGATTCCCACCCCCTCCTTCCCTCCCTTCCTCCCTCCCTCCGACCTCCTGCGCCTGCTCAGCTATTCATCGCTAGTGCTCATTCGGGAGAGATGACAACTTCTAGATTACAGATGAGTTCTGTCTCGAGAAAAAGGGCAGACTCCAGCAGCCCAGTCCCGATTTGGGCGGGGGCGGGGGTGGGGGTGGGGGTCGGGGTAACCTCCCAGAGATGGTGCAGGAGCCTCGGGCAAGCACAGATCAGGCAGCATTGCCGCCTCCCTCTCTTGGCATTCACTTCTGCGATGTTTCTCTTCAAATGACCGGTTTTCTTGATCCTCGGATATAAGAGGTGAATTCCAGTGATCCCACAGCGGGCTTAGGTGGTCCCTCACCTGACTCTCCTCTTCCTGAGGTTGGAAGAGGTTACCTGTCCATGTTCATGCCTCCCCCGAACCCAAGGCCTAGTTTTATTGGGCGCGGGGGGGGGGGAGGGGGAGGGGTTGGGGGGAGAAAGAGCGGGATTGGGTGGTTGAAAGAACGCGGACTGGGCTTCTGTCTGTAGGTATGCCGGCCTTTGGCTGGCTTTCAGCCTTTTGCCTGCTGTCCTTGCTAGGTCTCTAAGGCCTGGCTGCATCCTCCTGCAGCCCCCTCCCCACGGCGGCCACTTGGCCCGGTTTGCACACCTATTGCCTCATTCTGAGTGGGCTGTTGAATGGCTGCTGGCCCGTAGGACCTCCCCTTGCTCGTAAGGAGGGGCTTAAGGCACTGGGAACATTGGGCCTGTGTCTGTTGTGCTCTGGGTGAGAGCCTGAGGGACCAAGGCCTGGATGGGCAGGAGAAAGCCCCCGTCCCCTGCATCAGACAGTATCTTTTAGGGAGCTCTCCTCTGCAGCCACAGGGAGATGGGTTCTGGTGGGACACGGCCAGGGGCCATGTACCAGCTCTTTTCGTCTTGCTAGCATATCTAGCAAAACATCTCGTGCTCCAGATCCTCCTTCCCCAGGCTCTGGAAGCCCGGGGTCCTTGGGTTGGGGCACCCTCTCCACCTTTGAGGTAGCCCTGGGGTGGAGAGCTGGCAGGCGGAGGGAGAAGTTGATTGGAGTGGCAACGGTTAGAGCTGGGTTCTTGGTTGGGTGCTTTCCCCTCCCCCCCCAGGCAGAGTGCAGTTTTCTCTGAACCTTGTAGGCGGTTGCCCCCAACCTACCTAGTTTGACTTTCAAAGGCTGGTGGGTTGCAGTGACCCTTCGCATTCCGGGTCTCAGCACCTGTTGCCTCCAGCAGCGAGGCCAGGCTGGTTGGTGGTGCTCCGTGCCAGCTCAGACAGCTGCTGGTGGCAGCAATTAGCCCGGTAAGGTAAGACTGAGGGGCAGGGCTGTTTTTAGAGAGGCTGCTGCCCCGAGCAGAACCTCAGCTCCTTGGACCAACTTGATTCTCCCAAGGCCCGGAGCAGGCTCCTTGGCAGGGAAATACCATTTTAGAAAGTAGGGCAGGGGCCTAATTAGCATCAACTCAACTCCAAAGTCCACTTCTTCCTGGGGCCTCGGTATGTTCGTTCGTTTATGACAAGGCTTCTGCCTGGATTCATCCCCAGCCTAGAAGGATATGGTGGGTAGTCGGCCATAGCCAGCCCTCCAGAAGGGCTGCAGCCTCGATTCTTCCAGATTCTTCCAGGGGAGCGCTTTGCAAACTGCCCTAGCCCATTCCTTGGGTGACTCCCAGGAGAGCAACCAGTGACCCTACTCCCTTTCCTATTCCTGAGTGTATATGCTCCGACAGATACGGTCAAATAACGGTGCAGAGATCTCTGGTCTTTCCTGTAGCTGCAAGGTTCCTGTGTTCTCTGGGGAGATGGGGCTTGTTGTTGCCTCCCCACCAGTGGTGGCCCAGATGCCCCTCATCCTTGGCATGCCTCCCCAGCTGCCCTCCTGCTTACCTTTATTGTTTCAAAATACATTTTTATTAATTTCAGAAAGGGAGAGAGAGATAGAAACATCAACAATGAGAATCATCGATCAGCTGCCTCCTGCACGTCCCTCACTGGGGATCAAGCCCACAACCCAGGCATGTGACCTGACCAGGAATCGAACTGTGACCTCTGGGTTCATAGATGGATGCTTAACCATTGAGCCACACCTGCCAGGCACCTTTCCTTTGTTTTAAACGAGGTCAGCATATTGTCCTGAGGTCTCTTGCCCTTTTCTTTATACAGGATGAGGGCTCAGAGACTCGCTGAGCTGGGAGAGATTCCTGTTGCTAAGATAAAAGACTCCAGGGGATGCATTCAGGAGGTGGGAGGCTGGTTTGGTTAGCTCAACGTGGGGAGGTGGGGGGAGTGTGTGACAAGGGAGCATGAGGAGTGGCAGGTGTGTGAGAAAGTGTGTGTTCTTCCTCTTCGACAGTCACTACAGCAGCTGTGGGACACTTGACTGGCTTTTGGGAGGTCTTAGGGTAGCCGTCCTTGACCTCGGGGAATTTCATTTCAGCCCAGCAAAGCGGATTAATCAGAAGACCTGGTGCTGACAGGGTTGGGTGCGACCTGGTGAGGGGAGGACATGGCCAGTTGCCAAAGGAGCCACCCAAGGCTGGCTGGCCTCAATGGTTCTTTAAGGTCTGCCAACTGTTGCAGCTGGAAGGAGCCTTGGAAAATATCTAGTAAAACTTCCTTGTTTTTGCACATGAGGAAATTGGGGTCCAAGAAGGGAAGTGACAGGTCCGGGGTCACCCTGCCAGCTGCTTTCAGAGTTTGGCAGGAGTACAGATCTCTCCAGAGACCGTTAGGCTGTCTCTCCCTTCACAGATGGAGACCACCATCCTGGAGAGGCCTCCCTGTTCCCCTGTCTCTGTAGCTAATTAGTCACCGAACCAAGATTGTCTCAAATCTGTTCCCCCTCCATCCGGGGCCCTCTCCTCACATGGCTCTTGCAGTCACTTCCTGATTGGCCCTGTTAGTTTCATTTGTCGGGAAATCTCATTCACCCTTCAAGGCCTAGCTCCAATGGTCCCCTCTTCTGAGAAGCCCCCCCCCCTCCCTCCCGCCAATCATCGCCCCTGCTCAGTGCAGACCTCTTTCTTGGCTGCTCTTCCTATGGTGGGAAGAGGACATGGCAGCTTCCCTACTACCCTGTTTCCCCGAAAATAAGACAGTGCCTTATATTAATTTTTCCTCCCAACGTTGCGCTAGGCCTTATTTTCAGGGGATGTCTTATCTTTCCATGCGCTAGGTCTTATTTTCGGAGGATGTCTTATTTTCGGGGAAACATGGTAGATTGGGAGTCTGAGTCCTCGAGCCGTCTCCCCTGTGCCTCCCGGCACTGAGGCTGCCACACAGGAAGTGCCTCCGCGTGACAGCGAATAAAAAGGCAGATGGTGCGGCTGGACCATTTACCCGCTATGTGGGTTTGGGTCTCTAGGTGGTGGTGGTGCATAGAGGCTGACGGGGCAGCAGCTACTATAGACAGAGTTGGCACAGCATGGGAAAGGGTGGGGGGGGCTGATAAAATGCAGAAGCTGGGGTTTCAGGCTTGTTGAGGAGAGAAGGTGGAGTTGTATTTCTGGCCATCCCACGAAGGGTCCCAGGTGCAGGCAGCCTCCCTTCCTCAAAGCCCCCTCCCAGCTGAGAGCCGGGACCAAACCAGAGCATATCAAGGAGGAGAGACCCAGAGATTGGGTTGCACAACACTCCCCACTCGATGAGCTAGAGATAATATTAAGGGGTGACTAGGAGCAGCTGTCATATTTAAGAGACGTTTGCTTGTGCTATCTCAGGGGCCGCCCTGGGGCTGGGGCTGAAATGAAGAGAGGCAGTTCATAACTTCGTACCTGAACCACTGCCCTGCCTGGAATGTTCTAGAATGAGATCGGGACCTCTTGGGCACCATAGAATGTGCTGAGCATTGTGACATTCCAGGTTACTTCTAGTCTGGAAGCTGGGTCGGTCGGTAATGAGTGTCTTGGGAAACTGGTAGGCTGATGCCATTTGCCATGTAGCTTTGTCCCAGCCCTGATTGATGGCCCCATAGCCACCGGGAGAGCAAAGGTGGCTGATGGGGCCCTGAGGTGGGCATCTAGCGATCCCTTTAAGTGACGAGGTTCTTGTCTGTGTCTGTTTTGCTCTGTGACCTCAGGTAAGTCACTTCCCCTCCTGGGTTCTTTTTCTTTATCAATTAAGGGACTTCGGCTGAGATGGTCTCAGAGATTTCTGGCAGCTTTAATCCCACTAACTCGGACAAGATCCCTTTCGGGGACCATTCATGCAGGGCCATCTGCCTCGGCATGGGGAGCTGCTGGCTTTTCTTGGTGTGTATGTGCACGAGGAATGAGAGAGAGGCAGTGAGCCGGGACCTGGGTCTGGGCGCATGCGCATGGCAGGCAGTACGGCATTGCACCTCTGCTAGGAACATGGCAGAGGAGGGGAGAGGAGGATTGGTGCTAGGCATCCTAAAGTCCCCATGACTCAGCTAAACCACGGAGAGGCCAGGCAGCCTCTTCCAAACCAACCTGTAGAGTTGGGTGGTGGGGAGTGAGCGGTAGGGCTGTATCTGTCTCAGGAGATCCAGCTGTGCTTTTATTTATCATTTTATTTTTCCCCCTGTCATTTTTATTTAGTTCAGTACACGGCAAAATATAAATGCATAACAATATGTCCTTTCTTATCATGGGCAGTCTTTTGTGCAAGTAAAATCTGTAGCCAACGTTTTATATAACAAAAGAAAGCTGAATCGGTAAGTTACTGGAAAAAGGAACAAGGAATAGGAAAATAATACATTTTAAATAAATAGTAGGGGACAGTTACAATGAAGATCTGGCACCTTTGTTTCTAGCTCCGCTTTTTTTGCAAAATAAAATCAACTTGTAATATTGGGTGACCTTCCAGGAGGACATAAACACTGGCCCTTTCAAAAGACAGCAGTCAAAGACAAAATGTTATCTTGATGTCACAGATTGTTCTTAGCTCTTAACTGGAGTTACCCTTTGTTTTGTAGCCTTTTTAAAAATATATTTTTACTGATTTCACAGAGGAAGGGAGAGAGAGATAGAAACATCAATGATGAGAGAGAATTACTGATCAGCTGCCTCTCGCATGCCCCCCATTGGGGATCGAGCCCACAACCTCCGGGAACCGAACTGTGACCTCCAGATTCATAGATCGATGCTCAGCCACTAAGCCATGCCAGCTAGGTTCACAGTCTTCTTTAAATGGTGGTAGTTTGGCAAGATTTTTTAAATCAGGAAATCCAGCTGTAGTGTCTAGGGCTGTGGTTGCTCGGTCTGCACCTGACAAAGGCAGTCTACACTGGCCGTTGCCAACCGGTGGTCCGTGAGACCCAAAAGGTTGGCTACCGCCGGTCTACACCATAGATCACTGTATTCCCAAGGGAGACTTCAATTTATTTAGGATGCAACAAGCCCCAAATGATGCGACCACTCGTCAGTATTACATTTCTGCCTACAGACTTGGGTGGGATTAGCAGCCAACTCCAGACACATTGGTGCCAGTGCTCACAGGTTTGGGTTCTGGCTCTTCAGAGTCAGGAGTGATATTATCAGAGTGAGCATTTACGATCAGCGCCTATTATTCTGCTAGGTTACCTTCACCAATCACTGAGTCTGGCCTCCACAATGATCTTGCCTTAGGGTGGATCACTTGCGAAGGCCCTATAGTCACATCGCTCTGGTTTCACTTTCTGTATACACAGCTGCTCCCAGAGCAATCTTCACACTTCTGAGTTTCCTCTGCCAGTGGTTTTTTGCAATTGTGCTTTTAGATGAGGGCAGGCCTTCCGGGCAAGATGCATGTTGGGCTTTGTGGGGGCGCTATGTCAATGACCAATTGCATTGATGAGCGGAAAGTCAGGCCAAGAAGCAGCAAGCAGCTGGGGCCTCCCAAGGCCCTCTCCATACTAGTCAAATCCCAGTTGGTGCTACGTTCACACCCAAATCCCAATCCCTTTGCATGCTCATGTTGACCAAAACAGATTTAGGAACATGGAAACGAGCAGGGTTGAGACTGACCCCCAGTTTGATGATTTACCTCCAGGTTCATAGGTTGACGCTCAACCACTGAGCCACGCTGGCCAGACTTTTTCCCCCATCACCATTTATCCCCTCTCTGCCCTCTTCCACCTCTACCCATCTCCCTCTACCCTGCCAATCACCACACTGTTGTCCATGTCCATGAGTTCTCTGCTGCCTGGCTTCTGTGTCACCCTCTTATCTTGGTGGCCTCCTGAGTCCCCAGCTAGAGGTGATGGGTTTGGGGGAAGCTTCTGTGGCTGGCAGAGACCGTTAGGTGCCACAGCTCATGCTACCGCTGCCACCTCTGGCTTTTGAGGGTGTTCTGGAGGGGTGTGGGTGTGGCACGGGGAGATGGTGGATGTGAACCACTGCCCAGGAGACCCCAGTAGAGATTGTTCTTGTGTGGCCTTGCACCCCACTCCCACAGCCCACGCTGCCTTGATTGGCTTCTCTTGGGTGCCCGCACCTGCAAGGACGAGGGGACACCAGTTAGTACCAGTTGCTCTTTCAGCCACTTAAAGGTGCAGTCGTGGGCCCCTAGGAGGAGGAGCCTGGGGCCACCGAGAGAGGATTCTGGTGTCAGAAGTTTCTTTCTGATGACCCACTGAGCGGTAGGGGAAGGAAGTCGGTGGCCACGTTCCCAGAAGCTGATGAATTATCTTGGTCAGTGACTTCCGGCTTCTTAAGGCAAACTCGATGCGAAGCAGCGTGCTCGCAGGCTGTTTTGAGGGGACCTCTGAAGTCAAGAGGCTTAGAAGAGAGCTGAGGCAGAGGGCCGGCATGAAAGGAGAAGGGGCCACGGCCTTGGAAATAGAGGCGCTGTCCCATCCCCTCCTTTCTTGGGCCATATTCTGAGGCCGGTGGATTCGGGGAGTAATAGGAGCGAGGACTCTGGTTCTGGAAGCTCCCGAGTCATTCTGACATCTGCTTCCTTTTGTTCACCAGCAACCAACCAGTGGTTCATCCCAGCTGTGAGAGGGGACATCCCCCCTGGCTGTGCAGCCTATGGCTTTGTGTGTGACGGGACTCGCCTGCTGGTGTTTGGTGGAATGGTAGAGTATGGGAAGTACAGCAATGACCTCTACGAGCTCCAGGTAATGGCCCCTGATGTGCTCCTTACAGTTGTGGCGGGGGCGGAGGTGGGGGTGGGGGGGTGGGATGGGGGCAGTGAAGAAAGAATGATGGGGGGAAGGGGGTGGCCAGGTCCTCCTGACATGACAAATAACTTGGGCTCAGGAGGCGGGCTCATTCCCAACTCAATCACCGAGTCTTGATTTTGCAGGCAAGTCGGTGGGAGTGGAAGAGGCTCAAAGCAAAGACACCCAAAAACGGGCCCCCTCCGTGTCCTCGGCTTGGGCACAGCTTCTCTCTTGTGGGCAACAAATGCTACCTGTTTGGGGGCTTGGCCAACGATAGCGAGGACCCCAAGAACAACATTCCGAGGTGAGGCTGTGTCCTCTTCATGTGGAATCCCACCTGCCAGCCAGCCCCACCATGCCAAGTTTCCTTTGTGCCAGGAGAGGGTGGCACTAGATGCCCTGTAAGGAGCCTGGAAGAGGTGGTATTGGGGAAGAAGGGCCTAGCCAGGAGGTAGACACCTCCCTAGCCTTGGGCTGGTTCCTACTCATTGGACCCAGTTTATTATTTCTTAAAACACATACTGATCTCTGAGAAGAAAGGGGGAAGAGAGAGAGAAACATCGATGTTGAGAGTCATTCATCAGCTGCCTCCTGCACACCCTACACTGGGGATTGAGCCCGAAACTCAGGCATGTGCCCTGCTTGGGAATCGAATCATGACCTCCTGGTTCCTAGTTCAATGCTCTGCCACTGAGCTATGCCGGCTGGGCACCTAGGACCCAGTTTAGAGCCAGCACTTTCCCGGACTTCTGCCTGTAGGGTTAGTGATGGTTTTTTTTTTTTTTCCCCATGGCTGGTGGCCAAGGGCCTTTCTGAAGTTTGGAGGCAATACCACGGCCAGCATGCCCTGTCTTGCTGCTCCTTTTGGCCTCAAGTTCATCCTTAGGAGCTTCTGGCAATCCCCCTTTGGGGATGAGAGTAGAAGAACTTGGTCATGTGACTATAGCTCCCTTTGTCTCCCAAGGAAGCCTCCATTCACCCAGAGAAGCTGGTGAGTTTGCCATAGCTGACCTTTCTTCTCCAGGTACCTGAATGACTTATACATCCTGGAATTACGGCCAGGCTCCGGAGTGGTGGCCTGGGACATCCCCATCACTTACGGCGTCCTGCCCCCACCGCGGGAGTCACACACTGCCGTGGTCTACACCGAGAAAGACAACAAGAAGTCCAAGCTGATCATCTACGGAGGGATGAGCGGCTGCCGCCTGGGGGACCTCTGGACCCTAGATATTGGTAAGATGGGGGTGTGGCTTCTCCAGTGGCCTGAGAGCAAAGCTGGTCTGCTGTGCAGCCAGCGTGGAGTCCACAGGAAGGAGGAGGAGGAGGAGTGTCCTGCTTGGGTCCTTGTCATGGGAGCAGGCAGTACCCTGTTCAGGGTTATCGTATCTGCCCCAAGATTGTGGCAGTTTTTCTTTTTCTTTTTCTTTTTTTTTCAGAACAAGGCAGAGTTGGTCTGCTTATAGGAGATCAACGGGGGAAGTCAGGGCCTTTCCAAAATGGAATTGTCTAGATTAGATAGCGTTAGTCCCTGCCGATTCCTCAGTGCTCAGCCTGTACTAGGAGCATTGCACACTGGTCTGTCCGAGTTAAGAGTCTCAAGAGCCCGGGAGACCTCTGGGGGCTACTTAGGTTGGTAAGCAGGTAGGGTGTCCGGAATGGTAGGAAGAAGTATGGGTTTTTGACCTGAAGAAGGCAATGTAATTTTGGAGGATAGATTCGATCAGTGTGGGTACCCAAAGGAAACAGTAGTGTGGTGTTGTTTTTTTTAATGTGTTTTTATTGGTTTCAGAGAGGAAGGGAGAGGGAGGGAGAGAGAAACATCAATGATGAGAGAATCACTGATCAGCTGCCTCCTGCACGCCCCACACTGGGGATCAAGCCCGCAACCCGGGCATGTGCCCTGACTGGGAATCAAACTGTGACCTCCTGTTTCATAAGTCGATATGCAACAACTGAGCCACACCGGCCGGGTTAGAAACACTTTTTTTTTTTTTTTTTTTTCCATGAGTGAAACTCCCAGCAGCACTCTGCTTCCCAACACTCGTTCTGTAGGCAGTAGAGGAGGTGTGGGTATGAACACGTTTCTTGGAGAGTCGGACGCCCAGTGGCATGTCTTGCGCGCTCCCTACTCCTGCCCCAACCTTGAGAGCAGTGTCTGCTCATAGCAGATTTGAGAGACGCCAGTTGCTAGGATGGGCGAACAGAGCTTGAGAAATGCCAGAAACTGATCCAAGGGCCTCCCTTGGGCTATAGGGGGGACCAGGCATGGGATTCTTGGACAGGGTTGGCACCACTTTCCAAAGCCTTCCCCGAGGCCAGGGAACTTCCTTTGGGTCAGGGAGCATATGTCTGACCCCGTGTGGGTAACCCTCCTTTCTCCGCCGCTCTGCAGAGACTCTGACATGGAATAAGCCCAGTCTCAGCGGAGTGGCCCCTCTTCCTCGAAGTCTCCACTCGGCTACAACCATAGGCAACAAGTGAGTAGCTAGCCATTGCTTTTCCCTTCATGCCGGCCCTTACACCCGGCCCCAAAAGGCTCGCAGTTTTGTCCTGAGAAGGCCTCTTTCTGGCTGGGCTGGCATTCAGTAACTCTGTGTTTTCATTACCACCCCACCCTGGAGGGCCGCGAGAGGACAGAGCAAAGGGGCACGCACTGTTCTAGATTCTCCACATCTTAGCAGCTGGGTGCCTTTGTCAATACTGAGGTCCCAAAGTAAGAATGATGGGGACCGAGCCGAGCTGAGCGGTGGTTCCTGGTAGTGGAGGTGACAGTTCTTGGGAGGGCTGAGCCACCAAGCAGAAGAGGACCACATCGAGAGCTTTGTGTGTCCTAGGCGGCTCTCCTGGGGAAAGTTAGGGGACCACGTGTCTAGAGAACTTTCTAGATGGAAGAGGTGGCCTCTAGGTTGCCACCTCCTCTACAATCATCTCCTACTCTTCCCTCCCTCGTCCCAGAATGTACGTGTTTGGTGGCTGGGTGCCTCTCGTCATGGATGACGTCAAAGTGGCCACACACGAGAAGGAGTGGAAGTGCACCAACACCCTGGCTTGTCTCAACCTGGGTATGGCCTCCCGGGGCTCGGAGTGGCCTGTGGAGGGCTGCGGGGAGCTGGCCCTCCTCGGCCCTGGAGCTGTGTGGGGTGTGCAGGGAGAAAACTAAGGCTCAGGCTTCTAGAATCCATGAGCAGTAACCACTGGTCAGAGCGCTTGGAGGGACCCTGCTCTTCGAATTGGTTGAATGGGCCCTTGCTACACGAGGTCCGACACCCCGAAGTCCAAAAGACTCAGGGTGCAGAGCTTCCTGTTCTGCTTCTCAGATGCAGACGCTTTGGTAGGTTCTCCTCCACCCTGCAGGGACTCATCTGTGTATCCCAGCATGCTTATAGGTTCCTCTAGAAACCAAACGGCAGCCTGCTCTCCTCAGAGCTGCACCTGTCCTCCATTCACTCCGTCTCGGAGACCATCCCGTCCCCATATGCCAAGCGTCCTCATTCTTTTGAATTGCTCTCCTGGGGTTGGGACTTGCGCAGACGCCGCTCCGTGAGTATCCTTGCACTGTGTGTCTAGAACTATCCACGTGCAAGTGTATCTGAAGGGTAAACACCTCAGCATCCCTTTGCTGCCAAAGGGATGCTGCCAAGCTGCTCTGTACCCACATAGACTCCTCTAGCCGTGCCTAGCAACCGTGGAACCATTTGCTCTTCACCAGGTCTGATAAACGATTACATCTTGCCCTGTGCCAGCCCCATGCCCCGGTTCACCTTGAGCCCCAGCTGGGGCAGGCACTGAGATCAAATTCACACCTCTCTTCTGTTGAACATTTTTCTTAGATCTGCTGCCTTTTCCATGACTTGCGTTCTCTTCACCTGTATCTTGCTATAGGCTCCTGTGTAGTTAGATGTGAAACCTTTGTGTATTTCAAGTAGTTTTCTCAGTGGGTAGTTTGTGGCTTCTCATTTTCTTCGTTAGGGTCTCTTTGCCGAGCAGAGTTGTTCTGGGGGGGCGGGTGTGTTTTTTTCTAACTTAATAATCTTCGATGCCTTCTTGGCTTTAATTCCCCATCCCTGCCAGCAAAAGGCCAAAGGGCCAATAGGGATTTTGGATTCTCTCGTTCTCCCCAGATACCATGGCCTGGGAGACCATCCTGATGGACACACTGGAGGACAATATCCCCCGAGCCCGAGCTGGCCATTGTGCCGTGGCCATCAACACCCGCCTGTACATATGGAGTGGGCGTGACGGCTACCGAAAGGCCTGGAACAACCAGGTCTGCTGCAAGGACCTTTGGTATCTGGAAACAGGTAAGGCCAACGGGGAGAGGCAGCCCGAGGGCCTCTACAGTGGAGCTCAGCCTGAGAGCATGGCCTGCCGTGCTCACTCCTGAAGCCTCTGTCTTCCCCTTCCCCCTGCCCTGGCTGTACCCTCTTGCAGAAAAGCCACCGCCTCCAGCCCGGGTACAGCTGGTACGCGCAAACACCAACTCCCTGGAGGTGAGCTGGGGGGCAGTGGCAACCGCCGACAGTTACCTTCTGCAGCTCCAGAAATATGACATTCCTGCCACGGCTGCTACTGCCACCTCCCCCACACCCAATCCAGTCCCGTCCGTGCCTGCCAACCCCCCCAAGAGTCCTGCCCCCGCAGCAGCCGCACCTGCTGTGCAGCCGCTCACCCAAGTAGGCATCACACTCCTGCCCCAAGCTGCTGCCGCGCCCCCTACCACCACCACCATCCAGGTGTTGCCACCGGTGCCTGGGAGCTCGATTTCCGTGCCCGCTGCAGCCAGGACACAAGGTGAGCTGGGCGCCAAGCACTTGAGGGCTGGGACTGGCCACCAGGATGAGAGTGCGATCCTGGGTAAGGGCTGCCAAGTAGCATGCCTGGCAGTTGTTGGTACCGGCTTGCACTTGAGTGGTGGGGTTAAGGGTTGGGGGGCAAACTCGGTTCCTCCTGTGGGAACTGTCACTTTGAGGGTGCTTGGAAAGAGCAGATACGAAGCACTAGCAGTTCATGTCTAAATGCTGAAGGACCCAACAGAGGGGCTGGGGGGCTCTGCTGATGGCCACCTCCTTCTGTCGTCAGGTGTCCCTGCTGTTCTCAAAGTGACTGGTCCTCAGGCTACAACGGGAACCCCCTTAGTCACCATGCGACCCGCCAGCCAGGCCGGGAAAGCCCCTGTCACCGTGACCTCCCTTCCTGCAGGCGTGCGAATGGTTGTGCCATCCCAGAGTGCTCAGGGGACGGTGAGGCGCGATTGTGAGATGGCTGGGTGGGGCGGGACCTCCCAGTGATTGACAGCAGGATGACTGGGTTAGAATCCCACCAGCTCCAGCACCATCCATCCTGGGCCTTTCTCATCTGTGAAGCACCGAAGAGGTTGCATTGCCAAGTTAATATTAATTACCAAGTCGATGCCTCAGAAGGACCTCCTGCCGTCTGATCCCAAGGGCCTTTTGAATGTGAACTTGCTTGTTCTGAAACCTGAGGGGAGAATCTAAGGGGAAGCGGGTTGGTTGACCCGGGCCCATGAAGAGAGGGAGCTGTCTCTGACTCTTGACTTTGGAGAAGATCCAGAGCTGCTGACAAACTCCTGCCTTGGGGTCACGTTGCCTGCTTGGTGGTAGGAACCCAGGTTTGCGAGGAGCCTGGGCAGGAAGGAGGCTCCCTGGTGAAGTCTAGAGCTAAGAGCTAGAGTGCCTAGGGCCCAGTGCTCCGGTTCACACGCTCGTGTCCCACCACAGGTGATCGGCAGCAATCCACAGATGAGCGGCATGGCTGCGCTGGCTGCTGCAGCCGCCGCCACCCAGAAGATCCCTCCTTCCTCGGCTCCCACGGTGCTGAGTGTCCCAGCAGGCACCACCATCGTCAAGACTGTGGCTGTGACACCTGGTACTACCACCCTCCCAGCCACTGTCAAGGTGGCCTCCTCGCCGGTCATGGTGAGCATCCTCTGGGCCTGGTTCTGAACCAACAACCATAGGGCTGGAGACTCCTAAGCAATGATGTGATCTGACAGTTGTCACTTCTCCAGGGATTTAGACCAACCCACAGAGGCTGATGGTCTGTAATTGGTGCGTGCCATGGGCTCTGGACTAAGCTTTCACTTTTAGGGATGTGAAGCCTTAGGTTCACACAGAGCTCTTCACTTCAGTCTCGGGGAGAGGGGAAAGAGGATTCGGGGGAGATGAGCCTGAGCTACAGGCCTCCCAGGACATCCCACCCATCACCTATATTTCTCCTCCCCGCCCCCAGGTGAGCAACCCAGCCACTCGGATGCTGAAGACTGCAGCTGCCCAGGTGGGGACATCGGTCTCCTCCGCTGCCAACACATCCACTCGGCCCATCATCACGGTGCACAAGTCCGGGACTGTGACCGTGGCCCAGCAAGCCCAGGTGGTGACTACCGTTGTGGGCGGGGTCACCAAGACCATCACCCTGGTGAAGAGCCCCATCTCTGTCCCAGGAGGCAGTGCTCTGGTGAGTGGCAGCCCACTGCATGTGGCAGCTGCCAGGCTATGGCACTGCCCTGGAGAGCCCCAGGCCAGGCAGTGCCCTTGATTGGTCTCCAGATAACACTCTGCTCCCTCCTTTGCTCTTTAGATTTCCAATCTGGGCAAAGTGATGTCAGTGGTCCAGACTAAACCAGTTCAGACTTCCGCAGTCACAGGCCAGGCATCTACGGGCCCCGTGACTCAGATCATCCAGGTGAGCACGTGGGGCCGAGTCCCTGCAACTCCAGCAAGTAGAACTTGCGTCCCTGCCTAGAGAAGGTCCCCCGAACACGTGTTGCTCAGAAAGTCCGACTGCTCGGCCTGTGACCCACCGTCTTCAGAATAGTCCTATAGCTGCTTGGCCGTGGTGGAGAGGAGCCAGGCTAGACTTTCTGTCCTGGCAGTAACGCCGGTCTACCTGTTTCCCCTTGCAGACCAAAGGGCCCCTGCCAGCCGGGACCATCCTGAAGCTGGTGACCTCAGCAGATGGCAAGCCCACCACCATCATCACTACCACGCAGGCCAGCGGGGCTGGGAGTAAGCCCACCATCTTGGGCATCAGCAGCGTATCGCCCAGCACCACCAAGCCTGGCACGACCACTATCATCAAGACGATCCCCATGTCCGCAATTATCACCCAGGCGGGCGCCACAGGTAGGGGTCTCCCCCAGCACATGGGCAATGAACTGGCAGGAGGCTAATGTCAGATAGGCATAGAAGCCAGGCTCTGCCGTGCTCTTGGTTTCTGTTTGTCTTTCCCCCCTCCCTCTTTTTCACCCTCTCCTGGCCTTTTGTTTAAGGTTTGTAGGGAGGTATCAGAGTGTGGCTTTAATTGGCACTTCATTGTTTTGGTGGTCTTTTTTGTTAATCCTCACTTGAGGACATTTTCCCATTGATTTTTAAAGCGAGTGGAAGGGAGGGGGAGAGACAGAAACATTGATGTGAGAGAGACACTTCAATTTATTGGTTGCATCCTGCACCCCACCAGGCTTGGGGATTATTGACATGCCCTTGACCGGAGTTGAACCTGGGACCCTTCAGTCCGCTCTAGCCATTGAGCTAGGGCGGCACTCCATCATTTTAGGTGAGGGGCATTAAGAGTAACTCCTGGAGCCCTAGTTGGTTTGGCTCAGTGGATAGAGCGTCAGCCTGCAGACTGAAGAGTACCAGGTTCGATTCCAGCCAAGGGCATATGCCCGGGTTGTGGGCTCAATCCCCAGTAGGGGGCGTGCAGAAGGCTGCTGATCAATGATTCTCTCTCATCGATATTTCTAGCTCTCTAACCTCCTTTTCTCTCTGAAATCAATAAAGAAATGTTTAAAAAAAAAAAAAAAGAGTAACTATTGGAAATGGGACATGGGAGCTGGCACTGGTGGGGCCTCAGGAACCCAGCCTGAAACCCCTCTCCTGTGTAGGTGTGACAAGCAGTCCTGGCATCAAGTCCCCCATCACCATTATCACCACCAAGGTTATGACTTCAGGAACTGGAACACCTGCGAAAATCATCACTGCTGTCCCCAAAATTGCCACTGGCCATGGGCAGCAAGGAGTGACCCAGGTGAGGCGTGCCTGGCTGACCCCCACTGTTAAGTCTAGGACCTGAGCAGGCCTGAAGGTCCGGGAAGGGGGCAGCATGAGATCCAGCCAATCTCTGAGTATACTGGGGTGGTTTCCCTGGCATTCTAGGTGGTGCTGAAGGGGGCTCCCGGACAGCCAGGTACCATTCTTCGCACCGTGCCCATGGGGGGCGTCCGCCTGGTCACCCCTGTCACCGTCTCTGCCGTCAAGCCGGCCGTCACCACCCTGGTTGTGAAGGGCACCACAGGTGGGTAGCTGCTTTGCATATTCTTCTGGGTCCACCTCCCATTGGAGGCTTGGGGGAGGGTGCAGGTGATCTCTCTGGAGCCTTCTGTTCCTGGTAGGGGCACTCTAGATTTCCCGTCCAGATTGAGAAACTGCTGGAAAGGAAGTACCAGCAGCAGGCCTCATCTCCCTCCTGCCTCTCTGCCTTTAGGCGTCACAACCTTAGGCACTATGACGGGCACCGTTTCTACCAGCCTCGCGGGAGCTGGAGGCCACAGTACCAGTGCCTCCCTGGCCACACCCATCACCACCTTGGGCACCATTGCCACCCTCTCCAGCCAAGTGATCAATCCCACTGCCATCACTGTGTCTGCTGCTCAGACCACGCTGACAGGGGCTGGAAGTCTTACCACACCCACCATCACGATGCAGGTAGGGAACGTGGAGACGGGGGAACGTGCATGAGGGCTGTGGGTTCCTGTCCATAAGTGTTGGGTGCATGAGCCCAGCCTGAGTGTGTCTAGTCTCTCATTTGCGTGCACCACGTTCTCTTTCTTCCTCATGCACGTAGCACCCCTGGAATGTGTTCCCTGTTGCCAAATCATAATTTTTCATCACTAGTAATCTTTTGTGTTGAGACATATTTCAGTGGTTTATGGTTTTGAATGCTAGATTTTTCTTTCTTACGATAGTATAGGAGATGGGACCATATATGTTCACACGTATATAGCATTTTCCTTCTCTTCGTGTCTTAAGCTTAATTCCTGGACTTGGTGAAGCCTCTGTTGCTGGCATTTATGGGATCAATGGGGTTCCTTCCCAACCAGGGCTGGCGCCACCTTGGCTCTTCCTCGGCTGCCCCCAGCACCTTCCCAGGCCCTCAGTGCCTCTTCCTTGGTCCCTGAGCATGTTGGTGTCTTGGGGTGAGAGGGTGAGCAGGAGACGAGTCTGTGGTCCCAGCTAGTGTGGGGGACACTGTAGGACATTGGGAGGGGCAAACATGGGAAGGTGGGGCACTAACTCTTCCCGTCTGGTGTCTTTCTAGCCTGTCTCGCAGCCTACTCAGGTGACTCTGATCACGGCACCCAGCGGGGTCGAGGCCCAGCCCGTGCACGACCTTCCGGTGTCCATTCTGGCCTCGCCTACCACAGAGCAGCCCACGGCCACTGTCACCATTGCCGATTCTGGCCAGGGGGACGTGCAGCCAGGCACCGTGACGCTGGTGTGCTCCAACCCACCCTGCGAGACCCACGAGACGGGCACCACCAACACCGCCACCACCACCGTCGTGGCTAACATGGGAGGGCACCCGCAGCCAACCCAAGTGCAGTTCGTCTGCGACAGGCCCGACACAGCCGCTTCCCTTGTGACCTCCACGGTGGCGCAGCAGAATGGCAGTGTGGTTCGCGTCTGCTCCAACCCGCCCTGCGAGACCCATGAGACGGGCACCACCAACACGGCCACCACTGCCACCTCCAACATGGCTGGGCAGCTCGGCTGCTCCAACCCACCGTGCGAAACCCACGAGACGGGTACCACCAGCACCGCCACCACTGCCATGTCGAGCATCGGTGCCGGCCAGCAGCAAGGCACCCGGCACGCCTGCGCGGCCACCACCATCCCTGTGATCCGGGTCACCGTGCCCACCGGGAAACTGGAGGGCGCCGTGAGTTTCAAGTCCTTATGCCAAACTCGCCAGACCAGCGCGACCAACACCACTATGACTGTGATGGCTGCTGGGGCCTCGCGCTCAGACAGCCCTGCTTTCGTGCTTGGCCCCAGCAGCAAGGACAGCCCTGTCACCGACCTAAGCCAGCTGGTGTCCATGGGGCGCCAGCCGGAGGCACAGCACACCCACACAACCAACACCCCCACCACGGCCCGCTCCAGCATGGGTGCTGGGGAGTCCGGCGAGCTGCGGGGGACCCCCACGCCTGCATGCGAGAGCTCTTCTAGTGCCGCAGTGACTGTGACCGGCCTGGAGACACTGCTGTGCTCCCCGGCCCCCGTGACCCAGGTCTGCTCCAACCCACCCTGCGAGACCCACGAGACGGGCACCACCAACACGGCCACTACCTCGAATGCAGGCAATGCCCAGCGCGTCTGCTCCAACCCACCGTGCGAGACCCATGAGACAGGCACCACCCATACGCCCACCACCGCCACCTCCGGTGGGGGTGCAGGCCAGCCCGAGGGGGCGCAGCAGCAGCAGCCCCCCGCCAGCCGCCCCTGCGAGACGCACCAGACCACTTCCACCGGCACCACCATGTCAGTCAGCGTGGGTGCCGCAGCCCCGGACAGCAACCCGCCCCTCAGGACCCAGGAGTCCGGGTTGGAGGGGGCAGCACCGCCCACCAGCGCTCCCCAGACCAGCGCTTCGCTGCTGACCCCTTTCCCAACACAGAGGGTGTGCTCCAACCCCCCCTGTGAGACTCACGAGACAGGCACCACGCACACGGCCACCACTGTCACCTCCAACATGAGCTCCAACCAAGGTGAGTGCAGGTGGCCAGTCTGGTGTCGGTGGTCTCCTGGAGCCCAAGCTAGAAGAGTGAGGGCCGTGGTGGCTAAAAGATCTAGCTAGCCAGAGCCCCAGATCCCGTGGGGCTCGGTTTACCTGGGGGGAGGGAGGCGGAGTCCTGGCAACTGTCCTTTAGTGGCAAAGCTGGGTAGAGACCCCGGGGCTCGTAGCAACCAGCCTCATCTCTATGTCCCTGCTGGCTGAGTGCCTGTCACCCAGCTGTGCCTGTCCCCTCAGATCCGCCACCAGCTGCCAGTGACCAAGGAGAGGCGGAGAGCACCCAGGGCGACAGTGTGAACATCACCAGCTCCAGTGCCATCACGACAACTGTGTCCTCCACGCTGACGCGGGCTGTGACCACCGTGACACAGTCCACCCCAGTCCCCGGCCCCTCGGTGCCGGTAAGAACCCCAGGAAAGTCCCCCTTTGCCTCCCTGCAGCCCAGTGCATCTGCGGCCCTTGCTGTTCCGGTGTTGGACACCAGGTGTCACTCCTGCACCACGCACAATGTTGCTCCTGGCCCCTTCTCCAGATTATGAGGGGGCAACCTCCTGGCACAACAGGGCGAGAGGCACCAGTTCCCCGGTGCCATGGCTTGGCGGTTCACTATAGCCTAGAGGGGCAACAAGGGTGGGGGGCATTTGAGTGCCTCTTTCTGACTAGACTGGGAGGCTTCCTTGAGGATGGGTGAGCATTGGCCAGCAGGTCTCAGAGGTGTCTTCTCCCATTGCTGGACACCTGCTGCTCAGTGACCTGCCACCCCTAACTGTTTAGAGGGGTTGTGCCGGTCCATGGCGAATGGGAATCCAGGCCCTAAAGAAAGATGAAGGGTGCCTGGTTCTGGCCTCCCTCTCCTCCCCTCTGACAGGGGCTTCTCTCCCTTTCTAGAAGATCTCATCAGTGACCGAAACTGCCCCAGGGGCTCTGACCACCGAAGTCCCCATCCCGGCCACGATAACAGTGACCATAGCCAACACAGAAACTTCTGACATGCCCTTCTCTGCTGTTGACATCCTGCAGCCCCCAGAGGAGCTCCAGGCCTCCCCCGGGCCTCGCCAGCAGCTGCCGCCACAGCAACTCCTGCAGCCTGCCTCCACCCCCATGATGGGGGAGTCCGCCGAGGTCCTGTCAGCCTCGCAGACCTCTGAGCTCCAGGCCGCTGTGGATCTGAGCAGCACAGGCGACCCCGCTTCGGGCCAGGAGTCTGCCAACTCCACCATGGTGGCCACTGTGGTGGTCCAGCCACCGGCGCCCACCCAGTCGGAAGTAGACCAGTTGTCACTTCCTCAAGAGCTGATGGCTGAGGCCCAAGCGGGCACTACCACCCTCATGGTCACGGGGCTCACCCCTGAGGAGCTGGCAGTGACCGCCGCTGCCGAAGCGGCTGCCCAGGCTGCGGCCACAGAGGAAGCCCAGGCCCTGGCTATCCAGGCGGTGTTGCAGGCCGCACAGCAGGCTGTCATGGGTAGGTGCGGGGGCGGAGAGTTCACTCCTCCGTGTGAGGTCAAGTCCACACCAGTGCCCCGAAGGGAGGATGACCCCTCAGGAAGAGAGAGAACACAGGGTTCTGGAACCTCCCTGCTGATGGGCAGCCAAGAGAAGAGGAGGAGGCCTGCTTCCTGCTAGGGAGGAGCAGAGCCTACATAAAAGGGGAGGAGGGGTGCAGCTGCTAGGCTCGGCTGGACACCCGGGAAGCCGGCAGGTTCTTTGTGGAACGGCAGGGGAGAGGTAGGCCAGGAAGCGTGGCCGATGGGACAGGCTTTCAGGGCTTCGGTTGCTTGGCTGGGGGCGGGCTCAGGAGGCGACACTGGAAAGCCAGGGATGGGCTCCGCCTAGCTGGCGCCCCTGCTGAGGAGGATTTCTCTCCACTCTGGAGCAGGCACCGGGGAAGCCATGGACACGTCCGAGGGGGCAGCAGCTGTGACCCAGGCGGAGCTGAGCCACCTGTCTGCTGAGGGCCAGGAGGGCCAGGCCACCACCATCCCCATCGTGCTGACGCAGCAAGAGCTGGCCGCCTTGGTGCAGCAGCAACAGCAGCTGCAGGAGGCACAGGCCCAGCAGCAGCAGCACCACCACCTGCCCACGGAGGCCCTGGCCCCTGCCGATAGCCTCAACGACCCGACCATTGAGGGCAACTGCCTCAGTGAGCTGGCCGGGGCCGTGCCCAGCACTGTGGCCCTGCTGCCCTCTACAGCCACTGAGAGTGAGTAGAGCCCCGTGTGGCCATGTGCACTGTCTCCCAGGGTCTCCGCGGACTGGGGAGAGGTTTTGGGGGTTTATCTGTGCCCTCCCCCCCTGCATAGACTGGGAGGGCGGCCTGGTCTGAGGGAAGGGCCCCCATGCAGAAACGGAGTTTCTGGGTTCTTTCCCGCTGACACCTTCTCTCCTCCCAGGCCTGACTCCTTCCAACACATTTGTGGCCCCCCAACCAGTCGTGGGATCCAGTCCCGCTAAGCTGCAGGCCGCCGCTACCCTGACTGAGGTGGCCAATGGCATTGAGTCCCTGGGTGTGGTGAGTCTCAAGTGATGGGGCTTCGGGGGTCACTACCTCTGGGCCCCAAAGGCCGAGAGCCTGACCTCCTCCATCTCTGTATTCCAGAAGCCAGACCTGCCACCCCCGCCCAGCAAAGCCCCCGTGAAGAAAGAGAACCAGTGGTTTGATGTGGGCGTTATTAAGGGCACTAATGTCATGGTGACACACTATTTCCTGCCACCAGATGATGCTGCCCCGTCTGATGTAAGTGACCCTGGGAGTTGATGCCCTCAGGTGGGTGGGTCCTGGCCATAAGGCTGGTATAGGGCCCTGAGGGGCCTTCTAAAGCCCCCTGCCTGGAGCCAGCCGAGGGCAGCAGTCCTTTTGTCGTGTTCCTTCTTGTTGGCAAGGGGTTGTCATTTTTGCCGTTTCTCGCTTCCTCTCCCCAACATGGACCTGCAGGTCCCCAGGTTGGAAAAACTGGTCTGCTGGCCCCAGAGCTGCCCTCTTGACTAAGGTGACCAGACATCCCGCTTTTAGCGGGACAGTCCCGATTTTTGACAGTTGCCCCCCAAAAAATCGGGACCTTTTTAAAAAATACCGCGGGACAAATTGTTAAAAATCGGGACATCTGGTCACCTTACTCTTGATAGTGGGGTTGACGCCACTTTCCTTTCTCCCTCTTCCCTTTTTCCCGGCCTCTTCCCCAGGATGACTCGGGCACTCTTCCGGACTATAACCAACTGAAGAAGCATGAACTGCAGCCTGGCACAGCCTACAAGTTCCGTGTCGCTGGGATCAACGCCTGTGGCCGGGGGCCCTTCAGTGAGATCTCGGCCTTTAAGACGTGTCTGCCTGGTTTCCCAGGAGCCCCCTGTGCCATTAAAATCAGCAAAGTGAGTCCTGGTTCGTAGGTCGATGCTCACCCACTGGCCTGTGTTGGCCGGGCTCTGATCATTTAGCCATTACATGAGGGCTCCTTCTAGATGGAGGCAGATGAGCCATCTCTGGCGCTCCCTGAACTCCTGTGACAGCAGCCTGCTGTCATAGGAGTGGTGGGGACGGGGGAGGGGGGGTGGTCAGCCCTGGGAGTGGTGCGGTGGCCTAGCACAGGCAGGGCGCAGGATAAACTCAAAGGCCGAAGCCCAGCACCGCTTCACCTCTGCTACCTCGGTTCTAGAGTCCGGATGGTGCTCACCTCACCTGGGAGCCGCCCTCTGTTACCTCCGGCAAGATCGTTGAGTACTCGGTGTACCTGGCCATCCAGAGCTCACAGGCCGGCGGTGAGACCAAGAGCTCCACCCCGGCCCAGCTGGCCTTCATGCGCGTGTACTGCGGGCCCAGCCCCTCCTGCCTTGTGCAATCATCCAGCCTCTCCAACGCCCACATTGACTACACCACCAAGCCTGCCATCATCTTCCGCATCGCCGCCCGCAATGAGAAGGGCTACGGCCCTGCCACCCAAGTGAGGTGGTTGCAAGGTGGGTGTCATTCATTTCTAAGGCTTCTTGGGCGCGCTCTGCGGAGGGGCAGGTTAGGGAATGGAAGCCCTGGCAAGCATCAGATGGGGTGGGTGAGGGCCTAGGGTGCTGTGGGGGTCCTCTGGGGCACCTTGCCTCATCTGGAGGTACAGGGAAAGCTTCCCAGTGATGTTTGAGGTGAGCTGGGTGGAGAGGACAAGAAGGGTGGAGAGTGGAGGCCCCAGGCTGCCCTGGCAAGCCAGCTCCCACAGGCTGACCAGAGAGGACAGTGAGGGTCTCTAACCTGAGTCCAGGACCACCTTGGGTGGCACACAGGTGGCCAGGACCATCGGGAATGTACCCACCAGAAGGAGGGGCTGTCAGATCCAGCAGGCCAGCTGGTCCCTTTGTAGGGCCAGAGGCTGAGGGAGGGGATGGGATGGGTCGGGTGGGTCGCCTGCAGACTGTTGTGTGGCTGAAGTTACTGGACCCACCTTACCGTGTCTCACTGCTCCGTTTTCCTTTCAGAAACCAGTAAAGACAGCCCTGGCACCAAGCCTGCCAGCAAGCGGCCCATGTCCTCCCCGGAAATGTAAGCCCTTTGCAGGGTGGGGGGCTCCACTTCTTAAATGATGGAGGGGGCTTAACTGGGTATGAACCCCCACTGCAAATCCTATAGTGTCGCCAGGAGCCATGCTAACGCCCACTTTCTCTTTCCCTTTTCCTCCCATCTCCCTAGGAAAACCGCTCCAAAGAAATCTAAGGCAGATGGCCAGTGAGAGGCAGCTGGCTCGCACCTGGATTCCTCTCCTGACCCCACCTCTGCTTCAGGAACACCACCCACCAGGGCCCTCCCGGGCCATCCCACCCCTGAGCGCTTACACTTTACCCTCCCAAGCTACTGGCCACCATCCATTCTCTCTCCTTTTCTCTGTTTTGAAAATAATCTCAAGAAAGCACATCTTAACCGTTGCTATTGGGAGGAAGCAGAGGCAGGTCTGGAAGAAATGTGAGCCCATGAGAGCAGTGCACTTGCTCCTCTCCAGGCCTCCCGTGGGGGCTGAGAACCCCCGAGGCCAGAGACCCCTAGGGAGGGAAACAAACTTTAAAGCAAAGATGCGAAAGCAGTGGGGGCCCGCGCCCCAACAACCTGGGAGCCTCTTGCTATTGATTCCCCTTGGCTGGAGAAGGCGGCCAAGGGGCAGCGGACGTGAAGCCAGGGAACGACACCCCTCAACCCCCCTACACCGCTTCTGCTCCCAGGAGCAAGAGAGGCTTTGTGGGGGCACCCTGAGCTGGGTGTGTGTGTGTGTATGATTTATTTTATTTTGTTCCCGTTGCATTTCCCGCCACCTAATAGCCCGCCCTTGACTTAACCCAGCCCATCTCTGCCCGTGATCCCATGGGAAGCTTACACATTTTTCTCAGAGGCCTTTTTATCTCCCCCATCTCCTCCCTTCCCTCTTCCCATGTAAGAGAGGACAAGAAAGAAAGGAACCGAAAGGGGGAGAAGGGGCCCCATGGTGGGCTGAGCAGTGTTCTGTGAAAACCTGGCTCCCGGCGGGGCCTACAGAAGCCCCCTAACCTCCCCCCCCCAGCCTGGCTTCGGCCCCCTGGGTTGGAGCCAGGGGCCACATCACCAACTGCTGCATTTGTTGTATTTTTTTAAGTTTAAATTGAAGGCAACATTTTTATTGTAATTTTAGCCTTAGCGTGTGGGGTTTTGTCCCTTTTTTGTTAGTTGTGTACAGAATGTGTATTTTTTTGTTGTTGTTGTTAACTTCTCTCCTTGGCTAAGCCTTGGCGCAGGCATCCTTCGGGAGGAAAAGCTGGGGGCGGCCAGGATAGACGAGGCATGGAATCTTCCCCCCGTGCACCCGGTGTTTTCTGCGCAGCTCAATTTCCTCTTCCCGGCCCTGCCCTCTGTCCCCGTGCCTGCCCTCAAGCCTCCGGGATGAAGAAGGGGTGAGCTGTCAAACGTCACTCTCCACGGGCGAGTACTCCACATCACACCACAGGATTGAGCTTGAAAATGTGCAGGAACCTCGAGTCAGGTTTCTGAGGGGGACAGTCCAGAGGCCCGGGCCAACGATCCTGATCCTGCAGCATCCCTCCGCCCCCCACCCCCAGACTCCCTCCTTGGCATAGCTGGCTTCGAGTATCCGACACCCTCAATTAAATTACCGCTTCCTGCAGCCACCCACTTCCACTCCACAAGCAACTTAGTAAGGGGAAGGGTGGGGTGGGCATGAAGGGGAACCTCTCAGGCAGTCAGAGGGCATGCGTGTGGGTTGACAGCACTGGCTATCATGTCTATGAATGTGCAGCACTGTCCCAAGGCTGTGTAGTCGGTCCTTTGGGGACTCGGGCTTAGGCCTCTGCTCAGAGTGGCTACTGAGCCAGCTTTCTGGTAAGGAGCAAGGTTTGCAAGCTGGTCGCACTAGGTGAGCTACCCGACTGCAGGCGCCGCCTCCCAACCCCCGTCTGCAGTGGAGACCAGCTGTAGCTGATGACTGCCCCACCATGCTCCCACCGCCTGGCTCCTTTCTGGGGCCTCTGGTTGTTGTATTATAGTATATTTCGCTGTGGAAAATGTCATGTTTAGTCACCTTGGAGCCCATTCGCCTGGTTTCATCGTTTCCCTGTCCCTCGTCCCAAGCGCCCTTTGATTTCTTGTTTCTAAGAACAGTACGCCCGTTCTATTGTAGAGTAACCCCCGTGACTCAATATTACCATAGTGCAATGTCGTTTTGTGCTATTTTGAACAATTAAAACCTTTTTTGAAATAACCACCTGCTGTCTTCACTGTGTCTGGGACTCCCATTGGGAGGGGACCTGGGGTCGGGAGGTGGGACTCCCAAGTTCAAATCCCCAGGGAGCCTTTTGCAGGGACTTTGTGTGAGTGGGATTCTGCTTCCCAATTGCCTCACACGTTTCAAGGTTCCACCATGGCCCTTGACCTTGGATAGGACCAGATTGTCTCAGCAGAAGGTCCCATAGTAGTTACTACCAATTCCTCTCAGGACCAGATCACCTCTTCCAACTAGGGGGCTGGGGCAAAGGCTGGGCAGGACACTAGCTGCCAGTTGGGGTGGGCTTAGCCGGAGGTCCTTCCACCAGGGGCCCAGGACCCCCAAAAGGATCTCAGAACATCAATTACCTGGCTGTTGTCGCCCACTGGGTGGTTCCCCTGTCTGGCACTGCAAGAGTGAATCCTCTTGGCCAGGTTCCCTGTGCTGTACCCCCAGAGAGGAAGCAGCAGAACCAACTGTGATAGCCCTGCTGTTGGGTGGGGTGCTTTTGCTAGGGTATAGCCAGGGTCAGAGGGTGCTCAGGACAAAACAAGGGGAGAATTCTTCAGCACACCTGAATATACAGGGACATGCCATCAATAATGACAGGCGTTTGTGAGCCGGGCAGGTCAACACAAGCCTGGCTGGGCCCAAAGCAAGGAGGCCCCTGAGCCTGAGCTAAGGCAGAGGGTGGAGGTGGCACAGAGAGCTACAATGTACAGGCATACCTTGTTTTATTGCACTTCTTAGATGTTTTGTCTTTGTCATTATTAATTTCAGAGAGGAAGGGAGAGGGAAAGAGAAACATCAATGATGAGAGAGAATTATTGATTGGCAACCACTGGGGATCGAGCCCACAACCCAGGCATGTGCCCTTGACTGGAATCAAACCTGGGACCCTTCAGTCCACAGGCCGATGCTCCATCCGCCGAACCATATCAGCTAAGGCTAAATATAATTTTATTGGGAAAATATATATATAGAGAGAGACACACACACACATTGATGAGAGAAATATCGATGAGCTGCCTCCTAGATGCCCCTACTGGGGATTGAACCTGAAATCTGGGTATATGCCCTGCCTGGGAATTGAACCAATGATCTTTCGGGGTGCATGGGACCACACCAAGGGAGGTCAGTCTTATTCTCAAACATCACAAAGGGAATGGGAAGGTCAGCCTTCGGCAGGAACTCATGCAGTGCCGGCACACAGTTGCAAGGGAGGCCCAGTCCAATTCCATCCCTCCCAGGGAGCCTCTCAGGGCCAGCTCTTCTTTCCCTGGTGCTAACTCTGCTGAACTGGTGTCTCATGTTGGGTGGGGTCCTACTGATTGTGACACAACTTCCCTACTCCACAGCCCAGGGGCCTCCACGGGGAGAGGCAGGCATTGTGACATCAGAGACTAGTACACATATAACCTGGGATTCAGGGGGAAGTGGTTAAGAAGGGAAAGCCGGCTCGTTCCCCAAAACACCCCCCACAACCCCAGACCTTCCTGCGGCTACTGGGTAGGAGCTTATTGAGCTGAGGGCCCCAGCTGCGGCAATCGCTAAGTTCAGCCACCAGAGGGCCACAGCGAGCCCGAACGTGAAGGCGGAGCCCGAGCGCGGAGGCGGGGCCTTGTGATGACCAAGCCCCACCCCGCAGCGGATCCCCGCCCTCAGGCCCGACAAAACCCAGGAGGAGGGGATAGGTGGGGCAAAACTGGATCAGCTGAGTGACAGTCACGGGACCCTGATCCGCTCCGTTTGGCTTCCTGGAGGAGAGGTAGGGATGAGGTGGAGGGGGGCGTCTCCGAGTGTGGCTGGCCCGTGGTGGGACCCGTGCAGGGTAGATGTCTGGGGTTGGTGGGATCAGTCCTGGGGCTGATCCCCGGGCCGGAGGACAGCCCTGCACACGGCTGGCGGGGGTGTGGGGGACCTCTAAGGGCTGGGTCCCCAAGCCCGGGAGAGGGGTCAGACAGCCCACTCAAGCCTGGGGTGTCTTGGGCACAGAGAAGCCCGGTGAGGAGGCTGGATACCAGGGTGATGGGGAGGAGGGGTCTGTCGGGGAGCTGAGCCTCCAAGTCCTAAGTTTGCCCAGGATATGGAGAAGGAGCGGGAGACTCTGCAAGCCTGGAAGGAGCGCGTGGGGCAGGAGCTGGACCGCGTGGTGGCTTTCTGGACGGAGCACTCCCACGACCAGGAGCATGGGTTCGCCTCTTCATTCTCATCTCCTCAACGTGGTCTTTGCCCCTCCTGGCCCCGCCCCACCCCCCCTCCAGCAGACGCAGATCTGCTGGGCCCAGTGGGCTGTGGGGGGTGCAGGCCCTTTCTTCCCTTTGTTAACTTTGTGTCCCACAGGGGCTTCTTCACCTGCCTCGGCCGAGATGGGAAGGTGTATGACGACCTCAAGTATGTCTGGCTGCAGGGGAGGCAGGTAGGGATGTGCTGAGGCTTGCAGCTCTCCCAGGGCCATAAGCCAACGTCAGGCTTACGGTCCACGCATGCACAAACACCCACACCACAAGGCCTGGCATCTCAAAACACGATTCCTCTCCTGACTCCCCCTCATCCCAGCCCTGGGGTCCCTCTGCTCCTCGTTTAAGCCGTGTTCCCTCTGCCCTTCCAGGTGTGGATGTACTGTCGCCTGTACCGCAAATTTGAGCGCTTCCGCCGCCCTGAACTTCTGGAATCGGCTAAAGCAGGTGCCCCCACCCTGCCCCACCTACCCAGAGGTCACTCCCAAGTTTACTCAATAGTTTCTGTGCTCCTACTTCCTGCGGAGACGGGGGGTTTAGAAACAGTGAATGAAGTAAGGGAAGGTGGTGTCCTTAACCGAGTGCTAGCATGTCCACTTCCCGACCACCAGGGGGCGAGTTTTTGCTGCGCTGCGCCCGAGTGGCGCCTCCCGGGAAGAAGTGTGCCTTTGTCCTGACTCGGGATGGCCGCCCGGTCAAGGTGCAGCGAACCATCTTCAGCGAGTGTTTCTACATCATGGCCATGGA